TGAAAGACAGGCAGGAATCAATAGCTTCAGAAGTGCAGACTATGGCTGTCGACATCTTACATTTAGAGAGGCCAATAACAGGGTAAATTTAGAGTAGCCACTAGCCATCTTCTCTTCATCATTTAATTTCATAACTGGCTTAAGAAGTCTGCAGCATACATTTGCAGAATTCTTAAATTTTAAGAAAAAACTGTACCAGTAGATACTGATGTATGAAGCCAGTTACAAGTATATGATTTGTCAAATGGCTAAAACTGATTCTTTTTATGTCAATGTTATAATTTCATGATGTGGGCCTAGGAGGTTTGCATACATAGATACATTAGCTCTGTATGTAGAGATACTTGAATTGTGGATGTCACATCAATTAGATTTGTAGTTAGATACTACACTGATAAGAGCCTTACAAAAACCTATGAAGAGATGAACACATGGAGTCTTAATGACAAATGGAGAATGATGGTCCGTAGTATGCTGCTTGTCTACTAAGGATTTTATATAATATCTATCATGCGGATGGTGGATAGGCATAAAGAACAGTAGAGTCGGCACATCCACTTTGGAGCTGAAAGAAAAGCACTGACAGGTCAAAAGAAATTGTTCATTATGGATGGATAAAGTTGTTTCAAAGACCCCTCTCCATTCCATCTCCCACTTAATTACTGCTGCAGCAGAGTTATGGTTGTTCTGGTGTTGCATAGTCAAAAATGCCCAGTGTATAGATGTGTATTAATCAACAGTGTGTTACAGTTGGGCAAGAGCTATATAATTAACCTTAGCTAATGAATTCCAGAGTTTAATATTTGCAGCGATGAATAATATTTGAACTTATAAGTCACAACTTAACTGTTAGCTAACTAACGTTTTCTTTGGGAATGCCTCTGGTGTTTGTAGTAGTAACTAATGTATCTGAAAATAGCAACAGTGATTTTTTAAAAATATAAATAACTGGCTGGGGTAAGGAGAAAGCAGAAGTATGTAGATCAGCAAGGTGTCTCACTGGCCTTCCAATCTGTTTGTATCCAACTGTTGTCTTGTCTTATTGTATGCACATTGTGGCAGTGACCATCTTTTGTTATGTAGTTTGTACAGTCCTTAGTACAGGTCTGCTCAGGCCTAATTTTAAAGCCTGACCCAGATCCAGACCCAGAACAAACCCGAGCACAGCTAACCCAAATTCCACCCAAGAGTAGCAAGTTATTTTCAGATCTGACCTGACCCTGACACTTCCCCCCAAACCTGCTCCCCATGCTCATGATACGTCTCTGGCCACCGCCTGCCCATAAGGCTGGCATGACAGCGCCTGCATGGCCCTTCCCTCCCCACACTGGCCATTGCTGTCACCTCACTGTGGAATGAGAGACGTTGTGACTCACTGGCAAGGTAACTCCACAACGCACACAGTGCAGTGAGATGGCGGTGGCCAGCAAGAGCAGGGCATGCAATTGCCACCACACTAACCTCCTGGGCAGGAAGAGATCAAAGCCAACCTAAGCCTGAGATGGTCGGGTTGTTTTCAGCGCTGACCCAATCTCTATAGTCAGGTTGCAATGCTCTGGTGCAGTGGCTCTCAAACTGTGGGTCAGGACCCTGAAGTGGGTTGCGACCGCATTTTAATGGGGTTACCAGGGCTGGCTTAGACCTGCTGGAGTCTAGGGCCGAAGCCCAAGCCCCACCACTGGGGCCAAAGCCCAAGGGCTTTGGGGCTCAGGTTACAGCCCTTGGGCTTCAGCTTTGCTCCCCCCTGACCAGAGGCAGTGGGACTCAGGCGTCCTCCCACCCCCAGAGTAGCAGGGCTCGGGCGAGCTCAGGCTTTGGTCCCTTTTCCTGGGATCATGTGGTCATTTCTGTTGTCAGAAGGGGGACGCAGTGCAATGAAGTTTGAGAACCCCTGCTCTAGCGCCTAGCACAATGTGATTCTCACTCATGAGTAAAGCCCCAAGATGCTACCAGTGGGTCTATACAGGGCCTTACCTGTGAGGGTGGAGTGGGAACAAAGGTATAGTTCAACTAAGTGTTAAGAGTCACCAGGGCTTGGTTAGGACGAGTGCTCTTCATCTGCAGTGAGCCTCAGGGGACATTATGACATAAATAAGGTGAGGAGCGGGACTGGCAGGGCAGCAGGCAGCGCCCACCACCCCCATTAACCCCCCCCACCCCCCAGCGCACAGGTGTCTGTGGGGAGAACCATCCCCCTGCATGGGGCGAACCCAGCCTCAGGCCACTGCCCCCTGTGCCCGCTGGTGACCAACCTCAGCAGGCGGAGCAGCAAAGGGGTCGGCCCCGCAAAAACAGCACGAGCGCTACAACCCACCCAGGGTGCGGAGGCCCCACGAAAACCGCCCGCGCGCGGGAGCGGCTGTTTGTACAGACCCTACGGCCACGAAGGTGCGGCACGTGCAGCAGGCGGCTCGGGGCCGTTTCCGCGGACAGAGGGCTGCCTCCGGCGGGAAAATGGCGGCGGCGGCGGCTGTGAGTGGCGGGAAGGGGACGCAGCTCCCTCCGTCAGCGCGCAGGGCCGGGCGCCCGGGAGCCAGCGCCGCCGACAGAGCGAGAGCGAGAGCGGCCCCTGCCGCCGCGTCTGCGCCCCGCGACCCCTCTTCGCTGCAGCGGCCTCGGCGGAGTGGGAGGGATCTCGCGCCCGGCGGCGCCCGCCTCGGTTAGGCTCCCTGTGGAAACCAACGGGGGCGCAGCGGGGGGGCTCCGGCCCGCGAGCCGCTGCTGGGGCTCCGCCGCCGCCGCTCAGCCGGGGGCTAGCCCCGCCCGGCAGCCCGCGCTGGCCCCAGGTACGCGGCTTCCCCAGAGGCGCTGGCCGGCCTGTGCTGCCCCCAAGCCTGCTGCCCTCGGGGCTCAGCGCTGCCCGCGCACCCTCAAATGAGCTGTGGGGGGAGACTCTGAGCCCGTGAGGAGTCAGGCTCGCCAGCCCCCCGAGCTGGGATGGCCGGCCTCAGTCTCCACTGGGGCCGAGCCCGGGGGCTGGTTCGAGAGCCTGAAAGTGCCAGGGTTTGTGTGGGTTTGTAGGGGCTGTGTCCCCGCGCTGGGTGGCCGCTGCAGACAGTGGTAGGGCACCCAGGCCTGGGTGAGGAACCTGTTGCGCTAGGCGCTGTACAAACACCCAACAAAGAGACAGTGCCTTCCCCCAAGGACAGTTGGGATGCTGCTGTGGGAGCTGAGAGTGGGGTATGAATGCTGGCCACAGGACTAAGGCTTTGCTGTACCCCAGGGCCTGGCACTTCAACTTAAACAAACTTGACCTTATCTTTTCTAGTTTTTAGTACAAAGGCTGTTCAACCCTTGTAGGTGACCCTTGATGTGACAAGAGGTTTGTGTGTATGCAGCTATGGAGCTGTAGTGTTAGCTGACAATCTTCCAAAATTGTCAGGATCAGTTGCTAATCAAAGCACAAAATCTACTTCTGTTTTTAGGGTTTTATATTGCCGCCTCCTCCTCATGGTATCTGAGCACCTTCTATGAAAATTTCATAGCAGTAATTAAGTCATTAGTGGAATTCTTGAAGTCTCTCAGGCTTAAAACTCTGCTTGGGGGTAAGGGTGTGTTTATTTTTTCTTTATTTTATTTGTTTGTTTATGGTTGGTTGGTGACTGATAGTTTCTTGTGATGAGAGGTGTTGACTATTGTGGCCTGGCTTGTACTAAGCAGATAGTTAGTTACAATTTTAATTTATTGTGAAGATAACTTTTTTAAATAACCCCAAGCCTTATATGACGTAATTTAAAAAATGAAAATTATACAAATATAACCCTATGTTTTGCTGTGAAATATTAGAAGTAGGCATTCATTCACCTCACCCTTTCAGCCTCTCAAAGAAATTTAAAGCTGCACTTAACGGTCTAAGCCCTGTAAAGGAAGGATGACCTCATACATAGGGCACTAGCTTGGGACTTGGGAGATTAGGGTTCATGTCCTGACTCCACCAATAACTTCCTATGAGACCTTGGTCAAGTCTCTGTGCCTCTGTTCTCCATCTGTAAAATAAGGATAACACATGTCTACCTCAGAGGGATATTGTGAGGATAAACACCTTAAAAGATTTAATGGTGTTCAGATAATGGGGATGATATAAGCAACTGAGAAATATAGGTGTAGAACTACCCTGGTTATACCCGATTGTTGTTGTTTGTATCCTAGTAGTACCTAGAAGCCCACTGTGCTAGTACAAACGGAACAAAAAGCTGCAACCCCCCAAAGATCTTGCAATCAAAGTATAAGACAAGGGACAATCGATGGATACAGATTGGGGGAGTACAAGGAAACAATGAGACAATATTGATCAGTATGATAGGCAGTGGTGTTAGCACCCCAGTGGCCTACCTATTGTCTTTTTTTTTTTTTTTTTGTAGGCATTACAGCAGAAGAGGCTAATGAGGTAGCTTGCAAATATTTTGTGGGATACTTCTCCCAGATGAGGGACAGCCTGGGAGAAAACATGACAGTTAAACAAATGACATCATGGGCTGATCAGAGGTGGGAGTTGATGCTTCAGTAATGAAAGAGAGAAAATAGGTAGGCTGGAGTTAGGCCATGAAGGGATTTGAAAGTGGAGAAAGGTAGCTTATGTTTGATGTGACTGTTGTCACCCAGGCCAGCGGGGTAACCAGGCAATGTGGTCAATCTAGAACTGTCCACTTACTTCAGAAATGCAAACTAAGGGCAGATCCTGCAAACAATTACTTTTGCTGGGACTCGTGCAGAGGTAACTATACGTATGTAAGTTCCTGTTTGAAAATCTGGCACCAACATATTTATCAACTCAGGTCAGATAGAGGTATTTAAGATTACATGGTTTCCCATATTTGTTGGGCTTAGTCTCTGATTTCTCTTATAAATATGTTTATTGCTTTTTTTTAATCGTGCCTTACAATGCTTCTGTTTTGCATTGCACTCAGGTAGGAGAACTGTCTCATTTATACACATAGATTTTAAATTTTACGCAAGTATGTCTATTATTTATGCAAAACTTGTAGTTTAAATATGTTTATTTAACAAATAAAACATTGTTAAATATGTTTTATTGGTTAATACTTTGTTTATGATTTAGCAAATATATACTTAGAAACAACACAGACTAAACTTGAAACAAATAACACTGTGGGGAAACAGTAAAATCACAGCTGTCAGGGAAATTTTATTTAAAAAATAAAAAAAGTAAAACTTTACCTTGGTTTATGTTTCCTTTAAAACTGAATTTCTCTCCTTTACATGCCCCCACAATTTTTTACCTATCAAACTCTCTTTAACCTGGCACCATTGCACACACAGCACTTTAAAACATTCTATTTATAAAGTTTCAGTGACTTGTGAGCAAGCTTAGAATGCACTTTTTTTTAGTGTACTTTTAAAACATTTTTACTATGGTGTGTCCGTATTGCATTTACAAACTGTAGAACTGATTGTAATGAATGCCCTATCCAATATCTATATGATTGGCAGTATTTCCACATTACAGTTTAGTTGCTGTCAGATATGATTGCTGTTTTCACCTCAGTTGCATGAGAATGCAAGTAACACAATAACATGCAAAGTTACAATAGAAGAAAGAAACGTACAGTACAATGTAGAGAGTGCTCTGTGTTATAAGGGCAGCAGATCAACAGTACCTCATGGCTCTACATTTTATTACTGAGTATTATGTGTTGATTTAGCCTAATATCTTTTAGAGAAAATGCAAATTGTTGGCCAGTAACACTAATTTAGAGTATCTGGGTGCCTCTCATTTCCATTATTTCTGACGGAATGTTGTGTTGCCCAGTGTGTGCTTGCAGACCATGTGACTGTTTCCTTGGTGAATGCAAACTAAACATTGTGTACTAAAGCACTTACAAGTATTCGATACAGTAGTGAGAGGATACATGTCAGTGGCATTAGCACATTTGTTTTTACTACACCTGTAGTGCTGTTAAAAATGGGGTGCAGTTTACTTGTCAGATAGAAGGCAGCTAGTATAAAACACTTTCTGCATTAAATCTTCTAGCTACACTCACAGGTATCTTTTTAAAACAAAAATAGTGAGTCGCTACACAGTAGTTTTTTCTGAGTCCTGTTTTCTATCCAGGCCCTCAGACTGAGTACTCCTGTCTGTTGCCTCCAGATCCTTGCTTCTGTGATCAGTAAGATAAATGGTTTCAGAGGAGCAGCCGTGTTAGTCTGTATCCACATTAAGAAAAGGAGGACTTGTGGCACCTTCGAGACTAACAAATTTATTTCAGCATAAGCTTTCTTGAGCTACAGCTCACGTCATCGGATGCATTCAGTGGAAAATACAGTGGGGAGATTTATATACACAGAGAACATGAAACAGTGGGTGTTACCATACACACTGTAAGGAGAGTGATCAGGTAAGGTGAGCTATTACTGGGGGGGGGGATGACACCTTTTGTAGTGATAATCAAGGTGGGCCATTTCCAGCAGTTGATAAGAACGTCTGAGGAACAGTGGGAGGGTCGGGGGAATAAACATGGAGAAATAGTTTTACTTTGTGTAATGACCCATCCACTCCCAGTCTTTATTCAAGCTTAAGTTAATTGTATCCAGTTTGCAAATTAATTCCTATTCAGCAGTCTCTCGTTGGAGTCTGTTTTTGAAGGTTTTTTTGTTGAAGAATTGCCACATTTAGGTCTGTAATCGAGTGACCAAAGAGATTGAAGTGTTCTCCGACTGGTTTTTGAACATTATAATTCTTGAAGTCTGATTTGTGTCCATTTATTCTTTTACGTAGAGACTGTCCAGTTTGACCAATGTACATGGCAGAGGGGCATTGCTGGCACATGATGGCATATATCACATTGGTAGATGTGTAGGTGAACGAGCCTCTGATAGTGTGGCTGATGTGAACAAAACCCGTTCCCAGCTGTGTCCACATATCTATTCAGGGGACACCATCATAGGACCTAATCACATCAGCCACACTACCCCCGCTCTCCTGCTGGTAATAGCTCACCTTACCTGATCACTCTCATTACAGTGTGTATGGTAACACCCATTGTTTCATGTTCTCTGTGTATATAAATCTCCCCACTGTATTTTCCACGGAATGCATCTGATGAAGTGAACTGTAACTCACGAAAGCTTATGCTCAAATAAATTTGTTAGTCTCGAAGGTGCCACAAGTACTCCTTTTCTTTTAGTAAGATAAATATGTGTTTTGCTCTCTCATTACGTTTGCAGAGTACAAAGATACTCTCCTTTTGAAAGTTTCCTTACCCTTTGAATAATAATTCCTTTTGGATGTCTACCTAAATTCACAGTTGGCCCAGAAAAAATCCAAATGGAAGCAACAACCCTGTAAATAGAAAAGGAGTACTTGTGGCACCTTAGTCTCTAAGGTGCCACAAGTACTCCTTTTCTTTTTGCGAATACAGACTAACACAGCTGCTACTCTGAATCCTGTAAATGGTTTGCTGGCCTTGCTCATTCGCATAATTAACAAGCATATGCTGAATACATGTTGTGCCTGTTACAATTATGTCTTCAGTTTTTTTCTTTCGCATTGCAGATGGGAAAGAGGGTATGTCAGCCAACGGCATTCATTGTCTACTTATTAAATTTTCAAACAAGCACCTTGTGCTTTCTCCCTTGCTGTTGCATGGAGCTCCCCATAAACATCCACAAAGCAACCTCATTGTACTCTTTAAAACTATTGTTTGCCATGCCTACTAAAACATTGACAACAATTAGGCTAGTGGTGTGCTGAGGCTACTGCCCATCATGCTGACCAGTGTTGTCGCATTGTTTACTTGTACTTCCCCATCTATCTCTTATCTTATACTTTGATCGTAAGCTCTTTGGGCAAGGGCCATCTTTTTGTTTTGTGTTTATGAAGTGCCAAGCACAACTGGGTCCTGATCAGTGAGTAGGTCTCCTAAGCATCAGGGTAACTGAAAAGGGCTTTGATGCCACTATTTATTTATTTATTTTTACAGTTAAGATGTTATATGATCTTATAAGATGTTAAGATGTTATATGTTTGATCTAATTTTACAAGGAACTCGATGTGGAACCCCTGCACCCGCATGGGTCCTTATTGAGATTGAAGGGGTTCCTCCTGGACATGGGTGGCTTCCCATTTGGAAGTCCTTGGAGGATAGAGTCTTAAATCATAAGTTGGAATGGGGCTAGATGTAAATTTCAATTCTCGACAAGTGCTCTGTTGTGAGGGTAAACAATTCATTTTATTAACTCCAAAGAGTAGAGGCCATGTTAAATTAGTCCCATAATTCTTCACCTAAGTTCTGCAATGGTCAGTATATTCTGTCTTTAAAAATATGTTGTAAAGTTTTTTCCCATTTTAATAGTTTACTTATAGTCCTTAAAGTTCAGCGTATCCTGCAAATAGGATAGAAGATGTCTACTGAAATTATTAACTTGCAAATTCACTATGATTTTACAAATGAAAACAGGACAAAACAATTATCTTTATTGCCTACTTGTGAAGTTTTGAATGTGGCATTTAGTAACGCTATCTTATTTTTCTTTATCTGCTGCTGTTGTGCTACAGGAAAGATGGGACTCATCCAAGATTCCTGAGTAATAAGAATGGGTCCAGATGTACCTCTCCTGAATGATTACAAACAGGAGTTCTTCTTGAAGCGCTTTCCACAGACTGTTTTGGGAGGTCCCCGGTTTAAATTAGGCTATTGTGCGCCTCCTTACATATATGTGAATCAGATCATTCTTTTCCTGACACCATGGGTTTTGGGAGGAATAGGAACACTTTTGTACCAGTTAGACATTATGAAAGACTATTACACTGCAGCACTTTCAGGAGGACTAATGCTTGTTACAGCACTTATTCTCCAGATGACAAATCTGAATGCAAGACAGAAAACAGTGACAGTAGAAAGAATGCAAATTCAGAATACCCTAAGGGATGAAGATGAGTATGAATTTTCCAGCTGTGTGGGTTCAGAGACAGTTAAATTTATTATTTCAGGCAAGAAATATTTAGTCAACACTGTATTTCATTCGTTTCTTGCTGGGGTAATGTGTGGGTTGGGAACTTGGTATTTGCTGCCAAACAGAATAACCTTGCTGTATAGTAACATTGGAGGAACTGTTGTGATCTTTGTGTTTGGATGGGTAACTATTTGTATAGGAGAATATTCTTTAATCATAAACACAGCAACAGAGACAGCTACTTTTCAAGCACTGGATACTTATGAAATTACTGCTCTGATGAGACCTTTCTATATTTTTGTCTTTATTGCAGTGGATCTTGCACACAGGTAAATGTCTATAATGTTTATATAACTTTAATGTTGGCTTATGTATGCAGTTTGTTGGTAGATGCTATGAAATAACTCTCCTGAAAGATTTGTATTAGAGATGTCAGTCAATTTGAAAAATCCAGAAGAAGCCTAGAAAATTATACAATAGAACTTAATGCTTTTCTTTTGCTTTTATAGAAAATTAAGAACTTGATAGCTTTCAAGAAAAGTTAGGCGGGAGACTAAGAAGTTATAAGGTTAGCATAGTTAAAATGGTCACCCTCAGTCTTAAATTCAGTACTATTGGAAGTAGCTGTTTGCCTCACTGTCCTTTTAAGGATTAGTTATCAAGAAATATATATTTTACGGCTTTTAAATGTCTTAAAATAATTTGTACCAAATATAGTACTTTTAAATTTGAGATAGGCCTGATTTGGAATTATAAATCCAAACACTGTGAACTTCAGAAAAATTTAGATACCAATTCGAAATTTGAGCTTTCTAGTTGTTGTCAGTCTGATAATGTTCAGGCATTAATTTAAGTATATTTATTTTTGTGTTTGTGTTGTTTTTTTTTTAAAAAGTCGGACTATTCTGACATTTGAATATGGGATACATAACTTTTATACTTCTGGATTTATCGTGTGTGTTAAACTTGAAGTAAATCTATACATACGGTATCTTCCTTTCATAGGAGTCAAGTACATTTCCTTTTTCATCCAGGTTTACTGTTAACATGCCAGTTTTAGAACAGACAAACCAGATTTTGCACATCATATTTCTATTTTTGCCATTTTTATGGGCATTGGGGATTCTGCCCCCACTTGATGCACTTTTTCTATGGGGAATGGAACAAGTGTTGGAGTTTGGCCTAGGAGGTTCACCCATGTCAAGTAATACAAGGTAAATTTTATTGACATAATGATCAAATATAACATTGTAGTTTGTAACCTTTTTTCTTTTCAATCAAATCTTTTTGTTTTTTCTCTCCTACGCAGGTTGTTAGTAATGTTTCTCATTTCTGCTGGAACAGCTATAGCATCATATTTCATTCCCAGCACTGTTGGTGTGGTCCTCTTCATGACTGGATTTGGATTCATACTCAGTCTTAACCTAAGTGAGATTGGTCTAGCCTTCAAGCACACCATGATCAGCCATTTAGCTTCCAACAAGTCTAAGTGCTCTAAGTCCAGTGGTCCTAGGATACACTTTGGATGGAGGGAATTCTTTTTCTATTTGACTGTCTTGACATTGGCTCTTATAGAAGCCAGCTTGCTGCATCACTTTGCTGGTTTTTCAGCATTTTCCAAAGCCAGTCCCCAGGCTATAGTGAGTTACATTCTGATCGTATTACTTATAGTTATGTGGATTCTTAGAGAGATTCAGGGAGTGTACTTGTTTGGAATCTTCCGAAACCCTTTTTATCCAAAGGATGTCAGGACTGTGACTGTGTTCATGGAGATGCAAAGAAGGCTTATGAAAGTTGGTGTTGTCAGAAGGATTTTACTAACACTAGGTAGGAATATCTTCTATGTACTATATGTAAGATGAAGATTAAAGGAAGATTAAAACATGGCAATAACATTTCTCTATGTGAGTTAAAATGTATGTGCTAAGAAGATTTAAATGGCTTAGTTTTCATTCAAGTTTTACTTTTAGCCTTGTATGCACAATTAATGGGTTCAGATTTTCAGAAGTGACTAGTGATCTGTGGTGCATGAATTTAGGGACTGACTTTCAGAGTGTGGGTGCTCAGTGCTTTCTGAAAACCACCCCCCTTTAAGGAGTGTAGGTTTGGAATCCAAAAATTGGAACTGGCCACTTTTGAAAATCTTTGCTGTAACTTTAATAAAATAGTTCTAAAAGAAAACTGAATTGACTCTGGAAGTCCATCAAAATATTTGTTCCTTGCAACTTCCTAATAAAAGGCCTAATCCTACTTCCATTGAAGTCGATGGCATATTTTCCACTCTCTTCAATTGAACCAAAATTTGGCCCGAATTGAGTTTGTGTAGATCTACTAGTTTTGGGACATAATCTTGGAGTGCTTATTCACATGTTTCACTCATTTGAGTATTCCCATTAACTTCAGAGAGACTAATCACAAGTTAAGCATGGGCATAAGCACTTGCAGGAATGGGCCCTTTGTGTGAAAATGCCACCTAATTTTAACTTTTTTTTGAGGGGGAGAGGGAAGTTCACAAAAAAAATTACTGGCTTAGTGGTGGCAATTCCCATTCACAAACTAAGATTTCCATTCTGCAATGAGCTCATTGCAGGATCTGGAGCCAATTTATGGACTTTGGTAGACATTGCAAAGAAAAAACATTGATGTTTCTCTCATGTTTTTTTTTTTTTTTTTTTTTTTAATTGCAGTGTCTCCATTTGCTATGATAGCATTTCTTTCATTAGACAGTTCCCTACAAGGTCTTCATTCTGTATCTGTTTGCATTGGATTCACCAGAACCTTTAGAATGGTAATTTTAAATTTTTCTAATTTGTTACCTTGTAGAAGAAACTTTTTCCAAAAGAAATAAGAAGTGACTTGGAAGAAATACTCCAGGTCAAGAAGAGGGAGAAAGGGCAGATGCTTGGTACAACAAATAATCAGTCTCTGTTTTAGGTTTGGCAAAATTCAGAGAATGCCCTGTTGGAGATGGTGATTGTATCGATAGTGCAGATGTTGCTATTTAATACTGATGTGTGGTGGAACAGAAGCCTTGATACAGGAATCAGACTCTTACTGGTAAACCTAATTTTAATTTTGATTAAGCAGCTAGCTATTGCATCTTTTCTTCCCCACTTCTTCCAAAATTAGGGCTCAGGGCTTATGGGTATGGAGACTGAAACTCTGTAGGCATGGATTTTCTCTTGGTTTAATAATTAGTTTTATTTAGTGCACTTAACATTATATAAACCTGAAAGAGCTCTAGCAATGCTGAATGTGACCAGATACCTAAGAAAAATATTTGATTATTGTATGTATCTCAACAGGCTGGTGTCATTCGGGATCGATTACTTCAGTTGATCTCAAAACTGCAGTTCGCTGTAGCTGTTCTCTTGACATCATGGACAGAGAAAAAGCAACGTCGGAAATCTACTGCAACCTTAATAACACTCAACATTGTTTTCTTCCCAATTGTATTGGCCTTCATAGCTGTCTCTGCACTACTTTCTTCCCCCATGCTGCCGCTCTTCACTCTACCAATATTTTTGATTGGGTTTCCTAGACCTATCCGAAGCTGGCCTGGACCTGTGGGTGCAACAGCATGTGTTTGTTCAGATACCATGTACTATCAGCAGGTGGTTCCAAGTCTGGCCACTGCACTGCAGTCTGCACTGGCATCAGGTAGTCTAGGTAGGTAAACTGTAGCTGTATAAAATAATTTGCAGATAATATAGTTAAATGCTTTAATCTGTGTCGCCTCTACTGGAGAACATTGTGATTTGCAACCTCTATGTTAAATAGATGTGCTCACTACCTAGATTAAAACTTAAACAGTGCAGTGTTCCAGGGTTTATTCAGCTAAGTAAAAAATGGGTGGTTTCAGACCTTGCTGCATTCTCTTAATAGAGACTGCTGTGATTTAATACAATGAGACAGCGGTGGCAAAACTGTGTTGCACTTGGCATTCCTTATACTGAACAAGAGAAGATGTCTTTCTAAAAGATCTACCTAGGCTTAACTAAAATCTATGGGCTTAATACATGAACCACTTGGTCAAATTCTGTGGCCTGTGTTATGTAGGAGATGAGGCTAGAGGATCATAATGGTCCCTTCTGGCCTTACAATTTTACAGAAGATTGTGACATGTATTTATTTTTTTTTAATGATACTAAAAGAAAACAAAAACCAAGATTTTTTTTTTTCTTCGCCAAAGAAAACATAATTGCTGAAATTGCAAGAAATTCTTTTGAGAAACACTTGGGGCACACAAGCAGAATAATCAAGAGCAGGTTGCCCCACTGATAAGTTATGAGTATTTACTTTTGCTGTCTTACACTGATGGCTAGTAAGGGAGGCATCTTAGTATTCAATGGTAATTGAATCTAACTTCAGTCACTCTTTTTCGGAGGAAGAGAGAAATGCAGAAACTTTTGTCAGCAGACCTGTGCAATGGATTTGGTACAAGGGCTGAAGAGACTCGAAGTAATTGTAGGAAGCTTCCCCACAAAAGGAGAAACCCCACTCGCAGTTCACTCTACCAGTAAATAAGAGAACATCTTTCTTATTGCTAATATGAAAGTCAGGTGTTGTGGCACTCATGCCTCAGATTCAATATTTTTTTTAAAAATAGAAAAAATTACTTGCTTTTTAAAGGGATAATCTTTGAATGGACATCTCCAAGCAAGAGATCCTGTTAGGATCTTAGATCATTTAAAGATGAAACGATAATGCTCTTAATGTGCCACTATTTTAATTTAAAAATAAAAAAAATAATCTACAGAGAGGATTTGTAGTAGCTTTGACAGCCCAAATTTAAAAAAAACTTTGCAAAAATGGTAGCAAGAAAGTGCACTTCATTAGCACAGTGGAATATAAGGTTATTTTTAATTTTAACTATATTAAAACCTGGCTGGTTTTACTGATTGTATTTTACAACATTCTGAAACTAAAATTCACTGTACAAGTCAAAGATGATTTGAACGTGAGTGAGGATGCAATGTGCTGGCAGCAAACATGCACTGTCCTGTTTTGGAATATCACAGATGTGCTGGAGAAGTGACAGCTGACTGTAATCTAAGGTCTGAATTAAGAAAATCAGTTAGACGGCAAGTTTACCATCACCCTCTTACATCTAAACAGAAAGAGAATAGAGGAAAGAAATGTGATGTTTCTGTGGGAGGGAGGGCAATCTACTGACTAAAGCAGTGAGCTTGATTTCAGGACTCTAAGTGCTAGCATTGCCATTAACTTGACATGTGCAAGTCATTTATGCCTTAATTTTCAAATGCCTACTAATTTTGGTTGCCTCGGGTTTTTTTTGATATCTAGGGCCTGATTTTTCTACCTAGCGGTGCTGAGGAACAGCAAATTCCATTGGATCTGTGGGTGCTTAGTACCTCTGAAAATTAGTCCATTAGATTTTCATGTGGGACATCCAAAAATGGATACACTTGCAAAATTTAGGCCTTAACATCTGCTTAAGTGTCTGTAAAGAAGGCATGATAATACCTCACAGGTGGATTGAGGTTTAATTGATATTTATAAAGCATTTTGAGATCCTTAAATAAAAATGCCATAGAAGCATTCCTCCACCTTCCCCCAGGCCGATCTTGTGCTGCTGGGGGAGTCTCAGAATTCCCTTTTGTATACACATTGATTTTTCACAAAAGCAAGAAAACATAGGACCTTTCTACTGGCTGAGGAATGCTGGATATGACTCCTTCAAGAGCTCATTGCTGCTGCAAAAAAACATTGTGAATTAATGAAAAAAGTTGCAAGGCATGCCTTCCTCTGTCTAATCTTCAGGATCATCAGCCCTTGCTGATATGGGGAGTAACAGAAGAAACATGATCCTACATTTTAAGAAGTCTGCCCCCTTTCCTATATTTCTCTCTCATCTCATTCCCACCTTCCTTTTGGAGTATTTTAAGTACCTTGCACTCCTTTGACGTTTCTCACTTATTTTATCTGTGGCTCCCTCTGTCTTCATGCCCCACAGTTCTGTTCCTTGCTCTGCCCCAGACACAACTGTGTGATGTTGGACCAAGCCACTTACTTCATTTTCCTGTTGTAAAAAGGTTAACATCTCAAGGTTGTCATGAAGCTGAATTAATGTTTGGAAAGCACTTTGAGATGCTCTGCTGAAAGATTCTATAGACATGCATTGTAGTAGTATTCTACAGCTTATGTATATACGTAATCGTGTAGGCAAGAAAATTAACTTGGTTTCCACTAACTTTTCCCAGCTTGCCTCATCATTTCTATTTACACTACCTAAGTGTTTCAGAATGTACTATAGTCGTTGTTCTGGACACAGTATTTGGATCCAGCTTTGCACCTTACTTGCTTTGGTTTCTACTCTTGACCAGACACAAAGTAGTGTAATATAAGCAGCAGTCCATAATCTAACTAAAGTTGTAGACGCTAATGCACAAAGGCTCAATCTATACTGAAGAAAGTATGGCAAAAAGCAGTGCTTGGAAAGCTTTCTGTGTACACAAATTCACTAAGTATTTCAAGATGTTTTACAAGTTCTGGTTGTTCCAGCTGATTGTAATATCCAGGAATAGGTCTCCAGCTCAACCAGTGTAGTCTACAGTAGTTTCTTCATATTGCAAGAGGAAACCACAAGCATTGCAACTGCCCTAGTTCTAACCCCATTCCACAAGGCAATGCCTCATATTGGCAAGTTGCCCCAAAGCTCCAGCTAGTAACGGTTGCGGGCACTCTGGGATATGTACATCAGGAAGCCACTGAAGCAACACCTGTGCTGTGCTTGGCCAACCCAAACTGGTTCTGGCAGGATCAGTGTTGCTGTGTAATGTCCTTGCAACAGCCTAGCGCATCACACGCCACAAACTTTCATACAAGAGTGTCTTTGCAATGGTTTCCTCAATGTACAGAAGAAACCTTAATCAACAGAATCCAACAGTAAAAGTTAACTTTTTGTGCATCTTTTTTAGGTCTCTCTTTACCTGGATCACACTTCTTGTGCCGTTTTCAGGACAGACTGATGTGGATATTAGTACTAGAAAGAGGCTTCACATACTGCTGTGTTAATATTAAGGTGAATATTTACTGAAAACTTACCTAGTCATATTTTGGAAACACACATTTGTTTCTGTATAACTTCCTGTAATAGCACAAGTAACACAACTTACGTTACATAAGGTTAACATATTTTGGGTGCGTAACTAATTTAGTTTTACAACTGATAGGGTCTTTTGTGTTGCACCATTAAGTCTGTAATAATACATTTGAAACAATCTGAAGCACATAAGCAAGTTATGACATAGAAGAAGTTGGGGGTGGGGGGAGAACCTACTAGATTAGCAAGTATGGAAGTACAATATCACTCGTCCTGTGGCTACAGACTTTTTTTAAAAAAACAACCATATACAGTTGATCTGTAAGGGGCAAAGGTAACATGGCAAATAAAATGCAAGGTTCTAAAGAAAGTTCAGATTTATCATGTCTGTATTTAACATCTGTAGTCAATCTTAGATACTATGATGGGTGCTATAAAAAAATCTTCGCTTCAGTGGTGCCAGAAATATTAGAAATGGAAGTGTCTCTTCAATTGCTGGGAATAATTTTTAATAATAAGAAAATAGTATTCGTTAGCATTGCTTGTACAGCCAAAGAGCAAAGATGACTTGTTCCCATTTGTGCTATAGGGGCTAGAATTGCAGGAAACTTCCTGCCACACTGCTGAAGCACACAGAGTGGATGAAGTTTTTGAAATGGCCTTTGAACACCAGGAGCATGCAGAGACTTTCTCTCTCAATCATCATTTTGGAAACATTTTAACCCCTTGTACCACTCTACCTGTGAGACTGTATTCTGATGCCAGGAATGTCTTGTCTGGGATCATTGATTCACATGAGAACTTAAAGCAACTGAAAGATGATTTCCTTAAAGTGCTTGTATGGATACTTGTCCGGTACTGCTATAAAAAATCAAAAATGTGCGAGAAGCTGGACAAAACAACCAAGAACAAAGAAGGGTCATTTCCATTAACCCAGCCCAATGCATTTGACAGTGCAGTAGAAAAGCCCAGGCCCATAAGGGATGAAGATAGCTTTAGTGTAGATACAATTGCGGATTGGACCGATGATAGTGATCTTTTTGATCTTGAGCCCAGCAGAACAAGAGAGAGAAAAGAAACCGAGCCATTGGAAGCTGCACCAAGAACACTTTTGTCTGTTCCAGGGTCAGTAGAAATGGAGAGCGCAGTTGGTGCTCTGCAGGAGACAGCCCCTGAAGATAAACTCTACAAAGCTGTTGTGCTTGGCCTCCCTGCTGTAGACAAAGGAAAGAAGCAGGAAGTTGTAAACTTGCCTTTAGTTGCATTTAGCTGCTCCTACTCTGAGTTGCTAAGCATACCTGAAGAGTGGACAACTGCTCCCATACCTACTTCCAAACTCAATGAGATGAGGCAGAGGTTTCCGGAAGACTGGTACCATTTTGTTTTGAGTCAACTGGATTTTTTTCATTTGAAAGAAAAACCTTCCAATTTACTTGATGACATAACTAAAGACAAAGCTTTGAAAGAGTTGTACGTCCATGGTGTATTGTCTTGTTGTTTTGGTTTGTTTGGACTAGACAATACAGTTCCTGCTCCTAGTCATGTATTTAGAGCATACACTGGTGGCATCCCCTGGTGTGTTGGTTTGGATTGGCTAACTGGAAAACCAGAGCTGTTCCAACTAGCACTTAAAGCATTCAGGTAAAAAGCCATGCGCATTATAAAACATAGCATAACTCTGTCGGAAGAGAGCATTTATGCTTTCAGAGTTGGCTTTAAACTATATGTAGTGAAGAGAGAGATGCTAGCTAAGTGATAGTAAGTCACCATATTCATTGCCAAATAGTATAGCAAATTAGTTCTGAAATTAAGTATTTTGCATTTTCCATGATCAATCAATAGTGCCAATGTTTGAGCTAATTGAAACAACTATAACAACCTGTAAGTGGGTTATCATAGCTACATTGCTTTTGATAACTGCTTTGTCCCTCTCTCTGAAGTGTATACTTACTCTAGGCATTCTGTTATACATCTTTCAGATATACGTTTAAGCTCATGGTTGACAAAGCAAGCCTGGGTCCAGTAGAGAACTTCGAAGAGCTGATTAACTATCTGGAAGAATATGAAAGTGACTGGTACATTGGTTTAGTATCAGATATTGAGTGGCAACAAGCAGTTTTGCAGGAAAAGCCATACCTTTTTTCTTTGGGACATGATCCTAACATGGTAAGGGGGGGGGGGAATGCTAGCAAGCAACATTAATGTGTTTTTTCCACTGCTTATTATTTTAATGTGTCTTACTTCCAAGACTTTACAGATAACTTTACATCCAAAGAACAAATGAATGCTTGACAAAATTTGGCATTAGTACTGCTGGAAATTGCTAGACAGCTGTTCTGCAAACGCAGCAGCATTTGTTAACTATGACATGGGGATATTCAAGCATTCGGCCATTAAAGATTCAACGGTTCTAGTTAATTATATGCAACAGCATAATCTAGAGGCCTATACGCCTTTCATCTTACACTAAATATTGTGAGGGGACCAGGGCATGTGACATTATTTGGTTCAAGGCACTGCAGTGTTGAAAGTCTCACTTACTAAATTGCAGTCTCAACCTGTTGTTGAAATTATGGAAGAGGCAGTTTTAAAAAGACAGTACCCAGAATGATGCTAACTATTCCCTTTATGCTCTGTAACTGAAACATTTTTATTTGTGTGAATTCTATTAGTGTACTGAAAATTAAATGTTTTTTCTTTCAAAGGGAGTTTACACTGGGAGAGTGCTCACCCTTCAGGAATTGTTAGTGCAGGTTGGGAAGCTCAACGACGAAGCTGTCCGAGGTCAATGGGCAAATCTTTCATGGGAGCTGCTGTATGCTACCAATGATGATGAAGAACGCTACAGTATACAAGCTCACCCAATCCTTCTGAGAAACCTTACTGTGCAAGCAGCAGACCCACCGCTTGGCTACCCTGTTTATTCATCTGCATCTCTCCATGTGCCTTTGTTGTAGGCTGTTGATTTGTAAGGTGTGTTTTTTGTATTTCCTATCTGTAAGGAGGAAACCAAACACTAATGCTGCATTTGTACAACTAGAAATATGAAGATCTCATTGAGTGGCATTGGATGGCAGTTGCCAAACCAGGGAACCCTAATTTGCACGGAAAAGGTGCAAGCTGGAGGCAAGAACTTTAGAATCTGTTTTTGCAGTGCTGGAACTACCTAAACCCCATTCCCTGCGTGGCTGCCACATGTCTTGATCTCCACTTCAGAGAACAGATGCTTAGCTCTGGCCACTAACTGTTGTTGGTGCCTTTTTTTTTTTTTAATAGCTTGACAGGTGACTTGCATTTGTAGGCAGGTTACAGCTCATTGTAGTATAGTGAACTGTAGAGTTGGTAACCAAAGTGTACGTATGAATATTTATATGAAATTTTTATTCTCATTTTACATATTGATGTATTTTGATATTTTGGAACTTGTTATAATGTATAATTTCATATCATTTTTTTACTGTGTATTACCTGCTGCCCTTTCACGAAGGAAGCCTTGGAGCGTTTCTATAGAAAGGCACACTAGCTACTCCAGGCTTTCCCCTCCCCCAGTGTAAACAAACCATTATAGGGGCTGTATGCAGGCAGGGGGGTAGTTCAGAATGCAGGGAGAAGGGTAACTAGGGGCTGTGTGCCAGGAAGGCTCCCCCTTGCAGTCCCTGTGTCTCTCCCCCTGCAGCTCCCTCCCAACTCCGCCCCCAGCTTTAGCCCCATAGAGGGCAATAGGGCACTGGACTTCAGCCCCAAGGCCCTGTGGCCTCTAGATTCCTGGTTGAGAACTGCTACTTTGCTGGACAATAGATGTGTAAAGCTATTTCACTTGAATCTCTTTGACTGCTCAAGCCCTTCAGCAGGGCAGTCAGACTCCTCCACTTTCCTATGTACTAACAGGAAGGAGATCTCCTAGCAGGAGATGCTGACTTGGTGTCCAATACAGCTGAGACATTTAGAACTATTCACCTTAACTACCTGCGTAGACTACTAAAAGGAGAGAGGGCTCAGCTGACAATTACTTCTCCCTGATGTAGAGAGGGGAAGTGCCTTCCCCTAAACAATGCAGGGCTATGGGGAAAGCTACAAGCCTGCTGCATCCCCTACTATCCAGACTGATCAGACGTGTGCACAAGTTATCCAGCCCCAGAGCTGCCCTTCCAGAGCAGCCCCTACAAGCAATAGACACTCTTCCCCTTCATGCATTGGTTGATATTGGTCCTGAATGGCTAGGGACCTTTAGGCTCCGGGAAGGGAAGAATCTGGGCTGGTGGGTGGGGTCTGTAAGGTGTGAGAATGGTGGAAACAAGATCAAGTAGCTTACTGGGTAAATTCATGGCAGCAGAAATATCACAATAGGGTTCCTGTCCTCCTACCATAGTTTTTATAAACCTAAAGAATGACTTTATAGAAGGCCCTGCAAAAGTAAAGCAGATATGTTTAGAGACATGCTTTTATTCAATAAATGTTCTTACAATCACATTAGGTTGCAGTTGTCAGGTTACATGATAGCAAAAAAAATAAGGAATAATTAAAAAAGGCCTTAACTTGCAAAGATGAATAGAGGACAGAACACTCCCCCAGCTACAGTTACTAGTTTGGTTTAGTGGGGTTTTGTGCAGGTTTCTCCTCAAGCTTTCTTCTTTTGAGAGTAGGAGACATCAGCATCCTGTAATAATGAGAACACAACACCTTTTAACCAATGTTTTCCTCCATTTTCTATTTCATTTGGAAATCCTTCACACAAGACAGTTAAAAAAATCTCATTCTACTTGTATTAGTATGTGATCAGATACTGACAATACAGTTGTGCAGGAGGACAGCTTTAAGTGTGCACATGAAACTTTTGCTGCTTGGCTTTAGAGTGCTTAATACAGGTTTTTCTGCCTAAAATGAGGCTTTTGTCTCAGACACAGCTTAAAGTATGTGACACAAGTCCTACTTGCAAGGAAGTGAGAGATTGTCAGCCTGTCTGAATTTCAAATATATTGCTCAAGTCACTTTAAATATTATAGTAGTGACAGAGAATAGTGCAGGCCAGGTCTATAGCAGCTGCTCAGTATCCAGCTCTGAACCTACATTTCTGCAGTGCAGACTAGATACATTTGAGGTGAAATGTTTTGTCATAAGCATACTAATTTCACTGTTCTGCTGCTTGAACAGCAATAACCCATGGGGCTGTATATTCTCGTGTAGTGTCCAAATGTGGTACCAAGCAGGGAGGAAGATGAACAGCAGACTCAGATTGCAGCCTACGTTGATGGCTAAAGTCTCTCTACAGAGAGAGGAAAGGATATACAAAAACACCCGCTTAGGAATGGCTTACCACTCCACGCTTGAAGTTTTGTATTCTTATTTTGCCCATCTTGTTCATAAGCCACCATGCCCAGGTGGGTGCATATTGCCAAAGGTAGCAGACTGCTAGATATGGGTGATCGCTGATCCAGGCTTCTTTCAGATCATTTACCATGCTGACCAATGTAAGCCGAACGCAGCGATCAGTTGGCATTTTGTGGGACTGATCACCGGTGTTTTCTAGTGACTGGGAAGAAAAGAGGAATGATGAAATGCTACAGAACTTTTGCATCAAGAAAATTACTTCATTCCCCTATCTTTGGATTTCCTGTGTACCCATCATCAGAGCATTTAGGCACTATATACATAATTTAAAACTAAATTTCTACCTCAGTGCTGTTCTCCCTTCTTCCCTCATTTATGCTGCATCCTTAAGGGGGAGTTATACTTTGGTTTTAAATGGATCACAGCTCACTGCATATGTATCCCTAAGGATAATAAAATAAAGTCTCTTGTGGCTTCTGGCAAAGTAGGCTGGCCAGAGGACCCGTCTCTATTTATTTTAGATGAATAGTGTAGGACTTTGGGTAAATGAAGCCTATATAATGCCCCTCGGCCCAAAGCCCCACCTAAGCAGCTAGATGTGTGTGCTAAGGAGAAGTAATTTTCCTCCAAAGGCTACAGCTGCTCTACCAGGCTACTTCATCCCAACAGCTACCTGGCCCTGTGTCATCCTAATGCATGGCAGTGGGCTGAAAGATGTGCATAGCAAGCTTGGGCCTATACCTGCTACTGTCTGAAAAGGGAACAATTGAACTGGGCTCCATGCAGAGTGTATGCATTTGCTACACATTCAGACATTTCAGCCTCTCTTCCACACAGCAGAACCACATGGATTCTTCGGAGGGGTCTGCTCCAGCCCCCTCATTCTAGAATATTAATCTTGTATTGATTTCTGAGTGGGAACAGCTTCATTTAAGAGTCATGAATAAGTAAAGCACACCAATCTTTTTTTATGCCATCTCCCTTTATGGTGGCTTTTAAGCTGAGACATTGTGCTCATAAATTAAGCCTCCAATCACTGAGAAGAAGTCAGTTCAGGTGTTAGACAACTTGATATTGCAGGGCTGAATAAAATTGGATTTACTGGTATTGAAGTCAGAGGTCAGCAGTCCCACCACACTGCAGGCTTGAGGACTAGAATTCTAAAGAAGCTACTGTGAATTGTGTTGATATGCCAGTGAAGGCTTCCACTGCTGGCAGGAGCCTTGCCTTACATAGTTTCAGCAAATAGAAAGCAGGAGATGCTCTTGACCAGGATATTATAGCTGTTCTAGTTCATTTAAGATGTGTTGAATCTGGCTGTGATGAAGGTGAAAGATGTGTGTTATATGCACACTTGTTTTGCGTGTCCTTTATGAGACCCTCTTAGCCCTAGGCCTACCTTCCCAAAAAGGAACCCCACACCACTGAGCCCCATGTTCACATCAAGGACACTTCCCTGTCAAAAAGCCCAACCAGAATGCTTTGCAATCTTACATGCTAATGCTATGATAAGTATTTAAATTTTACCAGCCTTTGAACCATTCTTTAAAACCCAATTAGGTCCAAAATCTGACATACTTAAACATGGTTTATAATTTGGTATAATATAAAAGCACATACTGCATTTTAGAGTGGATATTTAAGTTTACTATACTGCAACTGAGAAATTAAGTACACTGCACCATTAGGTGGTCCATGGCACCAGGCTTCGCTGCAGCAGAAGCTGTTGGTAATAGTCTGCTTTCCGATTCCAGGAGTGAAAAGGACCCTAGGGCAGGCTGCTAAGGAAAACACTCCCTGATTGATTGGTTGTGGAGGGAGGCAGGACCAGACTTCTTTTCCCCAGGCATCTGAGAAATTTTTTATTTTTAAGACTCAAATGAAGGTTTTGCTCTCAGTGGAGTTTTAATAGAATAAATAGCTTTAGACACAATGTTTTATTTTTTGTGAAAATACAATTACACAAACACCTGCCAGAACCTGGCTCGAATGTACAGGAGAGGTGGACTGTTCCCCACATGGCATGGAATTACCCTAGGTATTATGTTTGCTGGGTAGTTTGTAGACAACAACAAAAAAATGTTTACCAACTTCAGTTACTAGGGTTTTTTTTGCTGGATTGTTTAGCTGAAACAGTTTTGAAACTTGAGAGATTTTCCTTGGCTTTCCATAGGAAATAAGAATGAATGCCTTGAAGTTGATGACAGAAGGAGCTTTACCAATGATTGCATCATAGAGTCAACAGAATAGGGAACTTTGTGTGTTGAGCAGACAGAAGTTGCCTAGATGGCAGCTAATGTATTCTGCATTTCAAAGTTCTGTGGGACTAATCCAGACCCTTCCCTTGCAGCTGCAAAAGGGTTTGTATGCAAGAGAACAGGGTGATTCTGTGAGTAAAAGGTGACTGTACAGGGAGTTTGCAACCACTGGATGGCTGCATAGTGGCAGGTACCAGGTTGCCCAGAATGGGAGAGTGTACACCAAATCAATCACCTACAAAGGAATTAACACACCTGCGCATGTAGGAAAGGGAAGGTTCACCATTTGCAAAGGTGAGTAAGGATGTGATTCTATATGAAGTTAGGGACGAAGGCCCAGATTTTTAAAAGTATTTAGACATGGTGGTGTTCAGCGTTGCAATGACTAACTGATTTAGAAGCCTAAAATCCCATTGACAATGGGATTTTAGGCTCCTAAGTGCCTAAATCACTTACAAACATATTTTAGACTCCTAAATCTGTTAGGCATTGCAACGCTGAGCACCACAGTGCCTAAATACCTTTAAAAATCTGGGCCTATATAATGTTCCTTTATTACACTGTAGGTTATTCATCTCTTTACTGCTGGAAGCTTAGTGTTTGCCAGCAGGAAGGAGCTCAGTTCTACATTGAAAAATCAGTTTTACTGGGCGCTAACAGAATCAGCTTCTACTGTAGCAGAGTTTCAGCAGGGAAATATCTGCTCCTTACCTTTGAGAGGTCTTCAGTAAAGACATTGTGTATAATTTTGGATTGGACAGGTCCTGGACAGATGGTGGTAATAATTATCTCTGGGTATTCACCAAGTTCAGGCCGAAGAGAATTAAAGAAACCCTAGAAGAAAGGAAGTTATGTTGTTATTGCCCCATGCCTCAGTTTCCCCATTAATAGAATGAGGATAATGTTTATGTAGTTCACTGTGGTATTGTGAGGTTTCACTTATTTTAATGAGCATTAAGCTCTAACTCTGCTGTAGAAGTTCCAGGTATTGTACTAAATGCAATCACCACCACCAGTCTTCAATCTTTCATGTTCAGTGACCACTTTGAATATTTACTCCTAGTTCAGTCTACAGCTAAAGGGCTTGGATAGTAAGAGATTGTCTGCAGTCACTGATGCCTCTTTCCGTCAGCTCTCAGAAGCACAAGGGTCTCTATACCAGAAGCTTTCCCCACTCTTGCAGCTCTCAGGTCTGCACAATGCCCACCAACAAAGTATTATGGGGCCTGAATTTTAGAGGTACTGAGCATCTCTAGCACCAAGCGAAGTTAATGGCAGCACATAGTGCTCAGCGCCTCAGAGAATCAAGGCTCCTGATGTTTTATCAAAGAGAGCTGTGCAGGACTAAGAACTGCAGAATCACAGAAAGGAGTAGACTACTGCAAACAAATGCCTCCCAACACCTATGCAGAGAGTAAAGAATAGTTTCTATCATGTTTTAAGTAAAGGACAAGGATTTTGTGTCACAGGGAGGAGCGTGTGACAGGTTGGACCCCCCATCCAGGATGCCACCTAATGTGCTAGGGTCCTACTGGTTCCATCCATTCCACCGGCCTGGGTTTCCCCACCCTGTCCTAGCTGTGCCCGGCCCTCAAGCTTTCTCCAGCACACACAGGTAGGGACACCCATCTGCAAATGGGCACAGACATGGAGATCAACTCTGTGTGGGAGGAATCAGCTTCGGGATTCACCCAGTACTCATGTGCACATGCCCTTTGGGGAGTAAACCCAAAATAATATTGTCTTGTGCTGTACAGAAAAATCTGCACAGCGCAAGCTCATAAAAATCACCCTCTCCCTCAATGTGGAAAGAGAGATGCACAGCTTCTTGCCCCTCTCCCCAGCTATGAATTGCACAAACTGGGTTATGTTATGAACAAGAAATAAATTTATTAACTACAAAAGGTAAATTTTAAGTCATTATAAGGGATAGCAAACAGAACAAAGCAGATTACTGAGAAAATAAAACAAAACACACAAACTAAGCTTAATACACTCAAGAAACAGGTTACAAAGTGTAATTTCTCACCTTAAATGTTATTTTAGGAGAGTTGCAGAGTTTCCGGAACTTAGAGTTCCGGTTATTTCCCTTTACAGACTAGACCCTGTCTCAGCATGGACTTAACTCTGCCTTTCCTTTCAGGTGTTTTTATCAGTCTTCCTTCCTGGGAAGGCAACAGAGGACAGTCCAGATTGCCTTGCTTCCCAGCCTTAAATAGAATTTACATAAGGTGGGAAGCCTTTGTTTCTAGTGGAAAAGTACCAGGAGTGCCCAAGGTGGTATTTTGTACCAGGTGACATTATCACATGACCTTGCAGTGTCAGGGCAACCATGAGACAATGTTTAATTGCAAGGTCCATAGGAAGGAATTCTTGGGAAGATGGGGGGGTCCACATCTTTGAACACTCATTGGCTTTTCCTAATAGCTCATTAAGGCTGATTCTGGTGGGAGTTTCCCAAGCACATACATAGACAATATTTCTGTGTGGGTAACAATTACAACTAACTTTAGATACAGAAAAGACACATGCATACAAATTGGATAAATACATTCAGTAAATGGACCTTTTCTAGGACACCTCACATGCCCCATCTTGCATAAGACATATAATATGAATATGGCACAATTAAGATATTTCTATGAAGAATATGGGGTGTAACGTCACAGAGGGAAACATTGTTCAACAAGACCTTGGACCAAGTGCTCTAAGTGTCCAGTTCTGCACCACTGAATTCAATAGAGAATTTTGCCCTTGGCTTCACTTGGAGCTGGACTGGGCTCCGACTTGAACACACTGCAGACAAATGCAAGAGCGAAGCTGTGCTTTAATTACAAACACGAGATGTAGGTCTACATTGTAATCAGGTGGTGTGATGGCAGCATGTGTAGCAAGATCTAGCTGGTTACTCAAGCTAGCTTTGAACAGCAGCAGTGAAACGTGGTAGCCATCCAAAGCACCAACCCAGGGTCCTGAGTGGATGAGGGTAGCCTATGCTGTCAAGACTTCACTGCTACGGCTACCTGATCTAGCTTTGATCAAAACTAGCTTGGGTATGTCTATGCTTGCTGCAATCACACCTCCAAAGCGCAGTGTAGACAGAATCTCAGATCCTGAGTCCACTGACCTGGGCTCTGAGACTCGCTGCTGTGGTTTTTACTGGGGGTTTGCAGTGGCTGAGAGTACAGATTAGTGATTTTATAATATTATTGCTATTAAAAGACAAGCACTGTCAAAAAGAAACCTAGATATTAGGATAGGTTTCAAAGAAAGCCCAACATTTGAAAGTATAGAAATACACAGTTAAGCACCCAGCAACCCTAACACTGGCCCCTGGTGACACCCTCACTGGAGTGCATTTGCGGAGTGGAAGGATGGTGTTAGAACAGAAAGTGTTATCCATCCATATGCACTTTCAACTCAATGACCACAAACAGTAAGTTGTTCTGCTCCTAATTGCAGTGCTATTGTGCAAGAACTAGCAGCCTTTATGTCTAGCAAAGGCACCTATTTTAGAAGTTTTTGATTAGGCAGCATGCGAAGACATCACAAATCATTCTTTAGTGCAACTCCATGTGCCACCAATTATACAAATGCCTAATTAGGGTGAATAGCGAAGGCTGTCATTGCGCCATTGAGGCACCATGTGCTACCAATTATCAAATTAGGAATTTGTATGAAGAGCATACTGAAGTCCATCATTCTGCATTCTTTATTAAGACTCCATGTGCCACCAATTAAGAATCAACAAATACAAAACAATTACATGTAGACAAACTTCTTAGACCCAGATCATGGCATTAAAGCCACTTCAAAAACCTAAGGTAAGGGTGCTCCTCTGCCATCACGTTAACTAGCATTATACATACAAGTCTTTACAAATACAGTGTCTTCAAGTTGAAGGTTTGTGCTTTTAAAGAATACAAACGTCTTAAAAGGTCTGTGACGTGACAAAAGGAGGATGGTAGTAGGGTGGTCAATGAATCAATACATTGACTCTTACAAGAAGATATCCACTAACCTATCCTGAATTTCTTAAAAGCCTTTGGTAAAAATTAAATAAATAAATACTACATCTTGTAGGATAAAGCCCTCTGCTTTGCAACCCTGTGGGAAGCTATATGAATAGCAGTTTGTAGAACCAGGCTCTAGCTGTGAAAGAAACAGAGGAAAGGCGACTTGAGGCTTGTTCTGCTACAGATTAAGGCTGTTGGAGTGCTTTAATTGGTCATTTCCATACTTTCAAATGTTAGCTTAATCTAAGGTTAACTTTCAGTGTCCTGGGGCTTTTTTTTTTTTTTTAAATAAATAGCCCAACCTTACCACCACTTGCAAAGTGCTCTACATCTAGGGACTAGATGACCTCCTGAGGTCTCTTCCAACCCTAATATTTTATGATTCTAGGAATTTAGAGAGCCTTGTGTGCACACATAGTGATATACAATGGGTAAATTGTGTTTAGACAAAAAAGCATTCAGAATTGAGTTTACAGTCAGAAACAAGACTACAGAAATGATCCTGGGGGAGGGTGTTCACGTTTATATGCTTTTTCTCTCAATGGACTTCCAGATCAGCTCTCCGCAGTGTAGAAGTCAAAAGCTGACTTTTTAATCGAGAGCTCGAACCTCCACCTAGGATTTCAGTGGTAAGAGTTTTCAGTAACACCTGACAACGGTCTTGTGCCTCCTCAACAGAATTGGCCTCATTCTTTCATAGCTTATTGACGGGCTTATTATGCCAGCCCTTTGCTTTATAGTATTTCATACACTAAACAAATATCTGCTATGTACACCTTCAAGTCAGGTGTTGAGTAAGGTGGTGCCATTTTACAAAGTCACTGACTAGAACAGTCACTGCAGTTTAAGTTGAAAACAAATCACACTTTAGCAGCAGTTCATAGAATAGTGTGGAAGGCAGATCATATCTAACCCCATAAAGTTATACAAATTCAGATGCAACCCTTACAGACATTGTTTCTTGGTCTATTGCTCTGAGAGCCTTCTACACTGGTGAAGATAAACATACACATCCCCAATTTGTTGCAAGAAATGGTGAGAATAAAGGGCAGGATGCTGAAAGATACCAGGTACTTCATGAGGTGCCATGAGCCACAGATTCTCTTTGAAAGTCATGAAAGTGCTCAAAATTCAAAGGACTGGGCTCACAATTCCCTCAGTTATTCTAGCCCATAAACATGAATGTCAATTCCCTTCTTCACAAGGAGTTCCCATTGCCACTCATGGCTTTCTCCTTTGGATATATGTAATTCAGCCAGTAAGGCTGTAGGTCTCAGATGGGGATTATTTCTATTTCAAAATATAAATAAGGAAACCCCCATATCAAAGTGAACAGAGTGTACAGTAGACCCTCAGAATTACAAACACCTTCAGAATTGAGGTTGTTCATAACCCTTTTTATATTCACACCAATATAAAAAAAAGCCTTGCAAGGAAACAGGGCTGTAATATAGTATGTCCTATAGCAACGGTTTCTGGGGGTTTGGGTTTTTTTTGAGGATTTCACTGTGCCCCTTGACATACAGCATTGCCAAATCCTAGGATTTTATTAAGTCTTGGGGTTTTTGGAGTCTTCCTTAAAGCCCCAGCTGCTGGAGTCAAGCAATTATTAGAAATAAATAGTTCTCTGAAACCATAAGGGCCAGAAAAAGCTTGAAAGGGGGCACCCTAAAGGCTCCAAAGCCAGAAGGCAAAGAATTTAAAAAACAAACACACATACATCCCTCCCCCCAAGTTCTTGTGATGTTTTGACCACTTATGGTTTTAGGCATAGGTGTGGACTTTTGTTTTTGCTAGTGACGGTTTCTGAAGGGGTGTGTGTGTTGGGGGAGGGAGGAAGTGCTCTGCCAGTTTGCGGGCAGGGAGAGGCTATTTTCAGCCTATTTTAAACACTTCTTTTATATTCTAGTTATTGAATGTGTATTGTTGGTATCTTTACTATTTTAATAATTAAGTTATGAACTACATAATTACATCATGAATTACAGTATATTAAAATTATTGCAATCACCTACAAGCGGTCTTCACTAACGTTGCAGTTTAAAGACATTATGTCTCACTGTAGCTTTCTGGATGAAACGGTCAGCAATCTTATTTGATATCTAGTTCCCTGATATGGTCTTGATGCACGTTAAGGACAGCTACATTATTCAGTTGCGTTTGTCCCATTGATGACTGGAGATAATTTTTAAGTCATTTGAAGCTGGAGAATGAGTGTTCTACAGTTCAGGATCATAGAGGCACAGGCTTCCAGAGTACTGCAGATTTATGACTCCAAGATCTCTTTCTTGAAGGGCAACAGCTAATTTAGGCCCCCCATCATTTTATATGTATAGTGGAATTATAATTTTGCCCTGTGCATTACTTTGCATTTAACATGTAATTTCATCCACCATTTTGTTGCCAAGGCACCCAGTTTTGTGCGATCACTTTGTAACTCTTCAGTCTGCTTTGGACTTAACTATTTGCAAATTCTGCCACCTCACTGTTTACCCCTTGTGACAAAGCTCTGTCCTTGCCTCCGTGGGTTCTGCATTTCCTGGCAGATTTCGCTAGCCTCAGAGGCTCACTGTGCCCTCCACGTAACCCTTCTCTCTCTAGAGACAAGGGTCACAGTCTACTGAGCCATTTTCATCATAAGCCAGTGAGGGAGGTGAGGAGAAGTTATCCTGCCTTGCACAGTCTCTGTTGTCTCCCAGTCTCAGTGACTAATCAGGGAGCGGGCGGGGAAGCCCGGGCCCACCTTCTACTCTAGGCTCCAGCCCAGGGACCCTAATAGTATCAGCTATGGTAGCTGTCCTTTTAGAAACATGACATGTACAATTCCCTGGGCTACTTCCCCCACAGCAGCCCTCACTTCCTCAAGCTCCACTTCACTCTTCCCTCAGGGCCTCCTTCCTTTTGCCTGATATGGTGTGTACTACTCAGTCGCTCCAACAGCACAACTTCCTCCCACAGCTCCTGACATGCACACCCACCTGACTGACTGGGAGGCTTTCAACTAGTTTCAGCCATCCCCTGATTGGCTCCAGGTGTCCCAATCAACCGAGTCTTCTCCCTGCCTTCTGGAGAATTCTTAATTGGCCCTAGGTGTCTTAATTGACCTGGAGCAGCTGCCATTTCACTTATCCTGGTACCAGGGATTTGTTTAGCCTGGAGCTAATATCTTTATCTCCCACTACTTTTCTATAGCCATCTGGCCTTGCCCTGTCACACCCTTTTAGAGATCATTTATGAATGGGTTGAACAGCACTGGTCCCAGTCCATGCCCTTGGGGATCACCACTATTTACTTCTCTTCATTCTGAAAATAGACTATTTATTCCTACCCTTTATTTCCTTAACTAGAGTGCCTGGCACTGCTTTCAGGATCATCTTATGATCCTTAACAAAAGGCTTGTCATTAAATTATCTTAATCACCCTGCCTCTGTTTACAAAAAAGCTCCCTGTCCCAAGAGCAGAAGTTGTTAGCAGCATGGAACTCATCACATTCCACACTTAAGCTCTGGCTCATGGGTGCTGAGCACCCCTTATTCTCTCCCCCCCCCATCCTCCATGAGTGCTTGAACCCCAGAGCACCCACAGAGTCGGTGCCTATGATTTTGGGGGCCTAACTCATGGGTTTTGGATCCCAATACTACCATACTATTTTACCTAAAAATCCTGGGAAGACAGACAGGGAAAAAATTGTGATCTTATTTCAGTTGTAAATCTGTTAGCCCTACCTGAGGTCCCTGCAGTCCCCACCAGCGAGTTGTTGGCTATCCAAAGAGGAAAGGACGGATGGAAAGGAGACACTTTTCCTGGTCACCAGTTGTGCCCAGGTTTGGGAGGGGAGTGTTGTCTACAGCCAGCCCCTTCTGTTAATTCTGAGGAGCTTTAAAATATTTAGGCAGGGGCCCCACAATAAGCATACACTTCTTCAGCCAAGTCTCTCTCCTTGCTGGATGTTGGTTGGAATAAAAGCTTCAGCAAGGACTAGCTGCTCCAGCAATAAAGCTTCCTGGAGATACAAGGTCACTATGTTCCAAGACTGCTAGTTTAGCGAGCCAGATGGAATTTAGCTTACCTGGAGGGCATGCTTGCTGGCACAATATCCCGTGGCGAGGGGGGCTCCCATGATGCCCATTACACTGCTCACAGTTACAATCTTCCCTTTCTCCCTTTGGACCATGTGATTCAGGACATGTTTAGTTAAGGAGACTGTACCCAGGTAATTAAGTTCCATTATGGCAGCATAGACATCCACCTTCGTATCCACAAACAGGGAGCGCTGGGAACGTCCACCATTGTTCACCAAAACGTCAATCTTCAGAAAAGAAACAAATTAATACAAATCTTAACCACCAACATTTTTTCTCTGAGGGAGCACGAGTCTTGCCCAGCTTTTCTCTCCCTAATATCATCTAGCTTTTGTAGCATTGGGTCACTATTAGCTGCTGCAGGAGATGTTTTAGTCACTCTAGTGGCAGAAACCCACAACAATTAAGTCTAAGTTGAGGTTTGGCTAATTTTGATGCTGGGTTAGCAAAAAACCTGACAAAAATAGCTCAATGTAACTATGCTGAGCAGTAGACCAGGTCCATTAGAGGAACACTGGTAGATGGAAACCACATAGCAGGATAGTTTAATATGAAAGAAGCCTATAATCTTGTAGCTAGTAACATCTAAGGCCCTGGTCCTGCAAGATGGTCCATGTGGGCTGACTCTTAGGTCTGCCCAGAGTTCCAATGGAGGAGATAGCAATGGGGGCGGGGGGGGAGGGGGAAGAGAAAGACAACTACAAAAATCAGGACTGTAAAAGCATAAAATGACAAGGGGACTATGGGCACTATCTAAAACTTCCCACTTTATTACACTGCCTGGATTTCAGACTATGTTTGAAGTTAAAGGGACAACCACAGAGCCAGGCATCTGGAGCAGAACACCTACGCACAGGAAAATATTTTATTTATTTCCCCCCCACCCCATATTCTTGATATGAACAGTCAGCTTTTGAGTTATGTACATTTCTGTTGTGCATAACTCAAACAGATATTACTAACATTGCGACATGAAGCTCTCCGAATTTGCTTTCTTGTGTTCAACTTTCAGACCAATACACACACAGTTATGGTTATTCCATTTTCAGTATGGATCTAGAAATGAGGTTATACAACCACAGATCAGGAACAATCAAATTAGATTCTTAGCTCCTTACTCAAGTTATTTGCTCATTGTTGCACCTGTGCAGAACCCCCACTGATGTCAATGGCATGCCCACAAGCAAACAATTGTAGGATCAAGGACTTGATATCCACACAAACGTGTGCATACACATATAAACATACAAAATGGGTAGGTAACTTTGGTTTTGTTTTTATTTTCAATAATTCAGAAAAGAATAAAGGTGGAGGGATGGGGGTGGTTGTAACCTGGGGGGGGGAAGAGAGAGAAGGACAGCCCAAAAATTCAACTCACTCTGCCAAAATGCTGAAGAACGGTTTTAGTTGCAGTTTCATGGAAGCTTCTATCAGTCAAATCAAGGGGCAAAACAAGGATATCTTTACTGCTCAAGTTGGAGATCTCTAAAGTAAAAGAAACTATTTAAAAGGAGCATTCCAGCCAAAACACCAATAAGGCACATTTAATTCCTGATATTTTAAAATAAGTAAATCCAACAGCCTCACCACCAACACAGCTTCCAAAAAGGAAATTCCATTAAGTGGGAAAAGAACAGATTTTGTTTTCTCAAACACAGAATCAGCTAATGGAATGCTATCATAACAGTACCAACACAAAGTACTCTTATTAAATGAAATGGGTTTGTGTATCTTGAACATACCAACACACTCTAGTCTACAAGGCATTTACACATTCCTTATAACCACTGCAATATGGCTTTTTAAATTAGGATTTTAACCAAGGCCTTCAGAAGCACAGAGTATCAGGATCCTTCACATTTTGCCTGTAGGTTAAACTGTTCAGCTGTGTGCATTCCTGAGAACATGCAGGGTATTGTCCTTTCCATGACAGGCAGGGGGCGGTAATGGCCAACCTACATACACAATACCTGAGCCAGAAGCTGGAGAACCTTGAATATGGTTAATGCTATTGGACTACAGAAACAGCTCCTAAAGGCAGAAAAAGGATTAAAATAAAATTTGTATGTGTAGATACATTATTTGGGTGTTAAAACAAATGAAAGACACTAAGCCCTCGTCTACACTATGAGTTTAGGTCAAATTTAGAAGCGTTAAGTCGATTTAACCCTGAACCCGTCCACATGACAAAGCCAGTTTTGTCAACTTAATGGGCTCTTAAAATCTTTTTTGTACTCCTTCCGAGGGGGATTAGCACTAAAAATCGACATTGCTGGGTCGAATTTGGGGTAGTGTGGACGCAATTCTACAGTATTGGCCTCCGGGAGCTATCCCAGAGTGCTCCATTGTGACCGCTCTGGACAGCGTTTTCAACTCAGATGCACTAGTCAGGTACACAGGAAAAGCCCCGGGAGCTTTTGAATTTCATTTTCTGTTTGGCCAGCATGGCGAGCTCATCAGCACAGGTAATCATGCAGTCCCAGAATCGCAAAAGAGCTCCAGCATGGACCGAACAGGAGGAACTGGATCTGATCGCTGTATGGGGACACGAATCCGTGCTACCAGAACTCCGTTCCAAAAGATGTAATGCCAATATAGATGCCAAAATCTCCAAGGGCAAATGCGAGGTGTTTACAATGCTCACAACTGCAGCAGTGATCGGAGCTGGCTCCCGCTTCCAGTGCTCTGGCGTATGCATGGGTAATCCAGGAAAAAGGGTGAGAAATGATTGTCTGTTGTTGCTTTCATGGAGGGAGGGAGGGAGGGAGGAAGGGAATGGTCACTGACGACATACCCAAAACCACCCATGGCTACCTTGTCCGTTATCTCAATTTTTTTTTTTTAAATTAAGAAAGAATGCGTGGTTTCAAAACAATAGTTACTTTATTTCAAAGCGGGGAGGGTGGTTGGCTGATAGGGAATTAAAATCAACAAAGGGGGCAGGTTTGCATCAAGGAGAAATACACAACTGTCACGCTGTAGCCTGGCCAGTCATGAAACTGGTTTTCAAAGTCTCTGTGATGCGCAGCGCGCCTTGCTGTGCTCTTCTAATCAGTGTCTGGCTGCTCAAAATCGGACGCCAGGCGATTTGCCTCAACCTCCCACCCTGCCATAAACGTCTGCCCCTTACTCTCACAGGTATTATGGAGCACACAGCAAGCAGCAATAACAATGGGAATGTTGGTTACACTGAGTTCTGACCAACAGTGCCAGCGAGCTTTTAAACATCCAAAGGCACATTCTACCACCATTCGGCACTTGCTCAGCCTATAGTTGAACTGCTCCTTACTACTGTCCAGGCTTCATGAGCCATGGGAGCAAGGGGCAGGCGCGACTGCGCAGTGCTGCTGGCTGGGAGAGCAGCCTGAGGCAGAAGCCTCCTGCTCGCAGGAGATCAGGATAGCAGAGTTGAGCGGAAGCGGTGGCGTGAGCAAGACACCATTGATGAGGACGGCTAGCAGTCCTACTGCACTGTCTGCTGCAGAGTTGCAACAGATCAGGATAGCAGAGTTGCAGCGGAAGTGGTGGAGCCGTTCACCATTGATGCGAAGGCACCCAGGAGCTGCTGCTATGTGGCCAAGGCAAAAGAGCAGGAGCCCTGGAGCTGTTACACGTGGAATGTACGGCTGAAAGATTTCTTCACCAGCGACAAAGGACAGGAATACGATGCACCTAAAAATCAAAAAAGGCTCGCACATTTTCCAGAGTCACTACCCTTGATAACAGAACGTCAGTGATTGCATTGGCTACTTGGATCACAGCAGCCCCCACAGTAGTCTTGCCCGCAACAGCAGTGGTGACAGTGAGCTGAGCGGGCTCCTGCTTGCAGTGCTATGGCGGCTGCATGGTTAACCCAGGAAAAAAGCTGCGAAACGATCCTCTGTGAAAGCAACGGCAGGCAGAGGGAGGGAGGGGCAACTGACGACATGTACCCAAAACCACACGCGACAAAGTTTTTGCCCTATCAGGCATTGGGAGCTCAACCCAGAATTCCAATGGGCAGTGGAGACTGTGGGAACTGTGGGATAGCTACCCTCAGTGTACCACTCCAAAAATCGACGCTAGCCACAGTAAAGTGGACGCACTCCGCCAACTTACTGCGCTTACTGGGGACACACGCAAATCGACTGTATAAAACTGCTTCCAAAAAAATCAACTTCTATAAAAATCAACCTAATTTCATAGTGTAGACATACCCTTAGTGTTCTGTCTTTTTAAGCTGAACATTAATTTTTTTTTTTTTTTAAATGTTTTATAGTCATGAAAAATTAAGGCACAGTGGAAAATTCACAAGCGTAACCACTAGAGTGTGCTCATGAGTTTCATAGGGAGTAAGGCCTCATTCACATGGCAAGCTAGTGTACTGCAAGCTGATACACAGTAGATTCACACCTGGGCTTGCCACACATTAATTTGACATGTGGGCAAGCCCTCAGATATTAAGCGTTACTTCGAAGTTTTACAAAGAGAGAGAGACACACAAAAACGAACATTAAGGCCACTTGAGATCAAATCCCAGTAAACTTGTAAGGTTAATTGACAAGAACCAGAGAGTCAGGGAAGGTTAGTGTGACTTCAGTGGCTATTTTTAATGCCCTCTGGCTGGGAAACATGTGAATGATCTTAAGTACTTCCCACAAGAATAAGAAAAGCATCAGAAGGCCATGCAGTGCTCCAAGACATCCTATCACAATCTTATCACTAATGAACCACATAGGCCTTACTGGGAAGGCCATTCAGACAGTATATTTTCTGAAGACAGGTTCTTTTCCTTTCAAAAGGAGAGAAAGGAAGCATGTAAACACAAAAGCCTCAACTATTTCTGTAAGAGTTTTAGTTGGCAAACCAAGTACTAAGCAAACGGCATAGACGTTCAGTAACAAACTGGCTTCCCTCTTATACATTAAGACATGGTTCCATCCTCAAAAGTGGTTTTGTTTGTCTCAGTTTCCACAGCAAGTGCACTCAGATTATATAGCTTAAAATCTGTGCTGGCAACTTTCTGCTTTTATTTCAGCAGCAGAAAAATGTAGTGTAAAGCTAGCCAGAGTTTGTTCCATGCCAGTCACAGATCCCAAAACTTCTAAGCCCGCCCTGCCATTCTGAGCAGTTTCATCAGCTTGAGCCAGAGAATCCACACTCTTCGGGAGAGGGCAGGGGATGGACCCTATAGACACCACCTCTCCTCCTGGACCAATCCCCAGTCCCACACTGTCAAGCTGCCGTTTCTTTTGTCAACAGTACTTTTTTATGGTAAAGCAGAACGCCTGCATTTGTTAATTTCTTCTTGTTATGAAGAAGGATTTGAGGAGGCTTAAATGCATCTCATAAGATATTTTCACTATTGCATCATCTATGTCTGTTTATTACACTGCGTGCTCTTTAGGATGCTTTCAGGCTGATGAATATGTTAGCAAAGCCAAGTGCCATCAATTCCAAGTCTTCATGCTGAATGCATCAGCTTTTCTATTGTTTTGAACAACTGACCTTTCTCACAGTTGCACTGAGCTTGCTTCCTAAATAGTGGCTTGAGAGTCTTCTTCACACAGCAAAGGCAACAAAATTATTCCCTTCCCCCACATCTTAATGTCTATTTGTGTGTGTTTTACGTGTTTTTAATTAGAGTCCACCTGGTAACTAATTCTCTTTCATCTTCGATTGTTTCTGGGCCATAACTACATTAATCTCTTTCTCCTTCCATCATCTGCACACTACAGAGCAAGTAGAGGGCTGCAGCAGGATTTGTTAATGATTACATTTATAGCAATCCAATATATGCAGGCTAGACTGACCTCGTTTCCACAATGCTGGGCAAATACTGTGTTGGACCTTGTTCCTGCCTCCAGCAAGTGTTTTTTCATTAGACCTAACCTTTGCCACAAATACGGAGTCCCTGCTTGTGCACCAGGATGCAGTAACCTCATTTTGTTGAGACTGAAGTCACTGCTGTTGGCATGTCATTCATCAATACCAGTAAAATATTCCGCAGGGTAAACGATTTCCTCAGCGACACCTGTGCAACCTTGTAGTTACCCTGTTCAAACATGTTGAAGGCAGACTGGACCCCTGAATGTTTCTGTTGTTTAGTGAGGCCATGTCTACACAACAGGGACTATAGCAGCATAGTCTCACACCCATCTGTAACAGGGAGTCTGAGCTACTTACACCCACCAAGAAGTTTAGGTGCTATAAACAGGGGCAGGCAAACTTTTTGGCCTGAGGGCCGCATCGGGTTCCTGAAATTGTATGGAGGGGCGGTTAGGGGAGGCTGTGTCTCCCCAAACAGCCAGGCATTGCCCTGCCCCTGCCCCGTCTGACCCTCCTGCTTCTCACCCCCGATGGCCCCTCCAGGACTCCTGCCCTCCTGTTCCCTGATGGCCCGCCGGGGACCTGCTCTCGGTCCCCTGACCACCCCCAGACCCTCACCCCTAACTGCCCCACCAGCCCTCCCCATCCAACCCCTCTTCTCCTTCCTGACTGCCCCCACCCAGGACACCTGCCCCCATTCCCCACCCTCTGATTGCCCCGACCCCTATCCAAGCCCCCAACCACCCCCCAAACTCCCCTGCCCAACCCGCTCCCTACCCCCTTACCGCGCTGCCTAGAGCGCCGGTGGCTGGCAGCATGGCTGCACCAGGACAGGTAGCTGCGCCACGCAGCACAGAGCACCGGGTCAGGCCGAGCTCTGCAGCCCTGCCACCCAGAGCATTGTGCCGCGCAGCGGCATGGCTCCGGGGGAGGGAGGGACAGCCTCCCAGGCCAGGAGCTCAGGGGCTGGGCAGGATGGTCCCGTGGGCTGGATGTGGCCCGCAGGCTGTAGTTTGCCCACCTCTGTGCTATAAGATGGTACTGAAGATTACAAACTGCCACAAAGACAATTTTAGCTGCATATCTTGGACAGCTCAATTATTGCTTAACTTTTACACTAAGAGCCTTCCAGAATTTCCACATGACCCCACCCTGTTGGCACAGTGCCTTGTGTTCCTTTTGAAAATACCCTCTTATTTTCAAGAGAAAAAGGCCCAGACTGTTAAATTGCCTAAAACTGCAGATAAGTGCTTTTGACAATCCCACTAGGTGCCTACGCATGCATCTGCAACTTTAGCACCTAAACATTTTTCATTTACTGCTCCTGTAACATTGCATCCTTCAGCGGGAGCTTTCTAAAAATACACAAAACTCAAAGCAAAGCATCTAGGTTATAATAAATGTAAGTTCATAACTGCCTTTAAATTATGAATGTATTCCTGTTGTATGGATTAAGTTTTTTTACAACACTTCTATAATGGCAAAAGTCAGATCAATAATATGGAAGTTACTTTTTTACTTACCAAGACACTTCTGTTTCACCCTTTCCAATTCATTCTCTCTTCTTGCAGAAAGCACAACTAGAGCCCCTATCTTTGCTAGCTGGTAAGCTAACTCTTCTCCAATTCCACTTGAGGCCCCTGTCACCCAGACGACCTTGTCAGGCAGTTCATTTTCTGTTGAAATGACCAAGAAAGCAGTTTATGAATCACTGTTGGCAGCGATTCAAATTTGCACAGTTTATACAGAAACATGGAACCTCACAATAGCATTATTATAAAGTCACTTGTCAGTGTATAACCAGCTATTAAGGTTACATGGATAAGTGCTCAGAAGATCAAGAAGTTCCACAGTTAAGGGCACATGCAACCTTAATTTCACCCTTTTGCACATTACAGTGCAGTCTTTAAGTTATACAATCATACTATTTTTATACATATTTTTCCCTATAGCTTATCCCAACACACCGCAAACTCTGATTTTGTTAAGCCATCTTGAGGACACACACACACGCACCCTTCCTCCACCCATCCCAAAAAAAGAAACCTACATAATTAAATAATATTTGTTGAACCACCAAAGATATTGCATGTGTCCTCTCAGCATAGACACACTTTTGTCCCCTCTTCCCTTTGCTGTTGAAAATTAATCTCCTCTCTCCTACTGGTCAGATTTCCCATCCCCCAGCTATTTAGGACTGATTCACTGCCACTGTTCAGCTGAGGTTAAAAATATATATATATATTCCCCTATATTATAGTTGTGACCATGGTCACTGAATAGGCCACACTGAGAATGCTCAATCAGGGCAAACAGCAAAGAATAGGGCAAAGGATCCCCCAAACTGTTGGTTTATTCTAATGATTAGCTCCAATTCCCTGCTTGTCACAATTTTCTACATGGGTAGCGCGTAACAATCCAATCACCTTCATGCTTTCCTTGTGCGCTCTGGTCATATCAGCCTGATGAAACAAAGTTGTCATATCCTTACCCAATAACAGACAAGATGGAAGTGTCATAATCACCCAGTCCCTAGTTATGACATTAAACTGGATGCAACCTAGTTATAATGTCATTGCCAATCAGAACACTGGCCAGAAGATTATCTCAATCACCAGGACAGGCATCTTCTGCCCATCTGGAATAGGATGAACTTCACACAGACATTCAAAGATAGACAGAAATTCCTCTATATCCTCAGTATCTTTGTGAATAGGACAAATCCTCTCCAAATTTTTGCTATTGAGACGACATCGATTTCCAGGCTGTGGCAGATTCTTTTGCTCTCTCAGGACTTAGAGCTGGAGTGTAGTAGCTTCTACCTGCTTTCTACGTGCCTGTTCCAGCCTCCTTTGAGCAGCTTTTTCAATTTCAGCCTCTGCTAGATGTCGGTAGTAAGCTTTTTTGGCTCTCCTGTCAGCTTCTTCTGTAATCTTTTGCTTTTCCTGCAATCGAAGATCTGCCAGTTTTGCTTCATGCTCTAACTGCTATTTGTTTTTCACTGCTAGTGTTCTAACTGCTTCTATTGCAGCCACTGCATCTGGGACAGATGCAGATGGAGACCCTGCTTTCTGGTCACGGTCTTTTAAACAGATTTTTCAGGTCTTGATCTGAGAACATTTTCCTTAAAAGACAGCCCCTTTTGTGAGCACAACTCTTCAAGGGTTTTTCTTGAAAGATCATCATATGAATATGGTTCACTCGTAATTAATCTTTAACCTCTCAATATCAATTAACTTTTGACAAGTATGTGTTTCTGACCCAAAACCCAATTGACCTGTGGTAATGTATATCCTAACCAGACTACACCAAAGTGATCATGGTCTTTGGAGGGGCCACACTGAGAATGCTCAATCGGGGCATATTGTGAAGAACAGGGAAGATGATCACCCAAACTGGTGGTTTGTTCTAATAATTAGATTCATCAAGCCAGTAACAAAACAGCTTCTGTAATACCTAACTGGTCACTATGGAGCTAAAATACAGTTCCCTTTAAGCAATCCAGCCTTCGGCTCCCACCCAGTCAAGCCTACATAATGAGGGTTATTTAAAGCCTTATTCATCAAGTTCTACCAGTCCCAAGAAATCAGACACCATATCCTCCAGGTCAACTAATATTTCAGATCTCACCTAAATACATGCTTACGGCCAATTCTTATTAACTAAAACAAGATTTATTAAAAAGAAAAAGTTACCGTGGTTAAAAATTATTATATATACAGACATGAATAAAGTTCTTGGGTCAGTTTCATAGCAGAGATGGTGAACTGCTGATCTGTAAGAGTCCTTCCAAAATCAGTTCAATAGATTATAGTCCAATAGGCAGTCCATGTGCACAGTTTGTTCAAATTCTTCCATGAAAAGTTGCAGGGATAATCCAGGACATACAAGGAGACCTCAGTCTTGTGGCTTGAGTTTCCCCTAACAAAGTTTAAGCAGATCTGAGATAAAGGATGAGGCTCTAAAGTTTTTATAGCTGAAGCTCAGCTGACAAACCTCTTGGCAGAAAGTGACCACAGCAGGCATTCCTTGGATGATGAATAGGTAATTACATTGTTGCTCTGAAGTAAATCTCTTTCCTAGGCATACACTGATAACCAGTTGCATTGATTAGCATAAGGCAATTAACTTTTGAAAGGTTCATAGGTAGCTTACTACAAACTTCAAAGAGAAATAAAGACAATGATATTATTGCACCACCAGTTTCATCTAATTGTCAATATTCCCTTTTGATCTCTGAATCAATAGAATATAATAATGAAACATTACAGACAGAAACAGAAGTTTAGCATCTAAAAGTTTATTAGATCACATTGTTATACTTCTAACAGATCTAGGTAAACACAAATACAATTAGTATTCTCTTCTAGTTCTCCAACAATACAGAACTCCCATCTATTTAACATGGCTTTGATAACCATCTACAAGGAATGGCCCTGGTTACCATTTCAATACTTTTCTAATGTCTTAAAGGTTGATTTTGGATCACTTAGCCTGCTGGCTGCTTATCCCTCACTGGCTCAGCATCACAATGGTATTGCATCTTGGCAAGTACATTTGGATCAATTTGGGTGTTGCTCTTCTGTGAAGAGCTTGGAATAGAATAGTGTTGGAGACCAGTCATAGAACTGATTTGTTCCAGTATGTGTTTTTGTTGAGAAGAACTTTTAATGGTTCATTTTTAAATGAGTGTTTTAAAATAAAGAATTACAATAGAATTGTGTTAATGGTTAACTATTGTGCTCTGATACACAACATGCATGAGAGGTTGTGCAGCATAGCAGTATGTGTCAGCCAGCTAAGAAATCCCTCTGGTGCAGTTTGGATTTTTTCCTGGAGTTTCATAGCTCCTGTATAAACACAAGGCCTCGATTTCATTTCACCAGTGGAAGAGGAGGAGATGGGAAAAATTTAGAGATCTGAACCACCATAGTTTAAGAGAGCGTTCACACTTCCCAGGGTAGGTTAGTCGGATGGAATTGTTCTTCATATTTAGACCAAGTGCAACAGTCACCTTAAACTGGCTATACTTATCCACTCTGAGGAGAGCACATTTCCCAATCCATGTTCATTCTCTAGAACAGAGGTGGCCCGCGGGACTGTAGAGACCTGGCCCTTGGGCTCCTGGCCTGGGAGGCTAGCCCCCGGTCCCTTCCCTGCTGTTCCCCCTCCCCCGTAGCCACGCCGCACGGGCAGTGCTCTGAGCGGCGGGGCTATGCGCTCATGCAGGGCAGTGCAGCAGTGTGTCTGGCTCCAGCCGGGTGGCCCAGCTGCCAGACATGCTGCTCTGAGCAGCATGGTAAGGGGGCGGTTGGATAGGGCAGAGGTTTGGGGTGAGGGGGGGAGGGAGGCAGTTAGGGGCGGGGGGGTTGGATGGGGGGGACCTAAGGGGGGCAATCAGGGGGCAGGAAGTGGAGGGGTCGGATGGGGGCAGGGGCCAGGCTGTTTGGGGGGCAAAGTCTTCCCTACCCAGCCCTCCATACAGTTTCACACCCTGATGTGGCCCTCGGGCCAAAAAGTTTGCCCACCCCTGCTCTAGAACCAGAGCTATCAAGCATTCAGCTACATACGTGGGTGACAAACAAATGCCTACAACAGGGACTGGCAACCTTTGGCACACAGACTGTCAGGGAAATCCGCTGGTGGGCTGGGACAGTTTGTTTACCTGCAGTATCCACAGGTTCAGCTGATTGCAGCTCCCACTGGCCGCGGTTTGCTGTTCCAGGCCAATGGGGGATGTGGGAAGTGGTGGCCAGCACATCCCTTGGCCCACGCTGCTTCCCACAGCTCCCATTGGCCGGGAACGGCAAACCGCAGCCAGTGGGAGCCACAATCAGCCAAACCTGCAGACGTTGCAGGTAAACAAACCGTCTCGGCCCATCAGTGGATTTCCCTGATGGGCCGCGTACCAAAGGTTGCCGATCCCTGGTCTACAGTCTGAGACAAACTCCCCTCATCTGCCAATGATAGAACTTACAGCCTGACTCCAGATGTAATGTATACCCTGGAACTTTATATTAACTGTTTTACAGCTATTAACCTGCCTTCCCCATTCTTACATGCGTTGTGTATACCCCTCAGATTGCAATCTGTGTTTATTACAAGCAGCAGCACCACTTGGGCCAGATTCTGCAACCCTTACTCAGAGGGTATATCTACATAGCCGTGGGGAAGCAGGATTCCCAGCTCAAGTAGAAGTATATGCCCTAGTTCTGATGGAGCTAGTGCCTAAAAATAGCACTGTACCCGTTGCCTATGCTGCTGCAGCTGAGACTGAGCAAGTGCAGACCTAGGGGATCGGGCAGGACTTTGCTTCGGCAGCTAGCCTGAGAAACGGTGGGCAAACTGCCGTTTTTAGGCACTAGCTCAAGCAGAATTAGCATGCGTCTATCTATTTAAGATAGAAATCATACTTCCCAGTGGCTATGTAGATGTACCCAGACTGAGTAGTACCTTCATCTGCAACTATTGCAATCCATGCTATTAAGTGAGAGAAGCGATTACTCAGCATGAGAATGGGTGGCAGAATCTAGAGACCTTTTTACATTAAGCCCAGATGTTAGCCCCTTCGTACAGTACACATCCCTCCTCCCAAAAACACCACAGAGCATGAGCTGTTTAAAAAGTGTCTGTTTAGTTGGTAATAAAGCAGAATTGACACGGACTTGTGATTCCT